ACGTCTCTCTCTCTCTCTCTCTCTCTCTCTCTATATATATATATATATATATATATAAGGTAGTGCACCCTGGAACTTACGGGTGGCAATGGGCCGGCCACCCCTGCACTTAGGGCCGGTGATGGTCCGAGTGGCCCTAATAAAGTAGGGCCCAGCCAAAAAAAAAGGCATGAGAGCAAGTCTTCCACGGCCTGAGTTTTTTTTATTTTCTTTTTATGTTTTTTCATTTGTGTTTGGCAGGGCCCTGCCCTAACAACTCTAGAACCAGGACTAGGCTGGCCCTGAGGGAGGAAGGGCCAGGCAAGGGCAGGCCCCGCCCATTGCTGAGCCTACCTGCATTTTGTTCATACATATCCAGTTCCATTATGCAGCTAAGGTTCAAATTAACGGTTCCATTATGCAGCCAAGGTTCAAAATAACGGTATTGTGGGAATTTTTCTCATTAGAAATAGGGTGTGGAGCGAGGCTTTAAACAATCAAAGTGGAGCCCGTCTTTAAATAGTGTTAAGAAATGTGGTTTCAACATTAAAAATCTTTGTTATATAGCTTTAAAATATATTTTCATCTCTAACTATAAAACTTAAAACTTCAAAAATAGATCAAGCAAATTTGTGAAAGCTTGAAATCTTAATAATTGACGATCAAAAATGCATTACAAGATGCATTATTTTCAAAACTTGAAATCAAATTTTTTTTTTATGTCCATACATCTTGATTTTGAGATATTTGAGGATAATTTGAGCATCCAAACAACTTGATTTTGAGATGATCGATTCAAGGATAATTTGAGCATCCAAACAACTTGATTTTGAGATGATCGATTCAAGGATAATTTGAGCATCAAAAACTTCTAGTGAAATTTTTTAGGGAGGCTCTAATTTGATTGTTTAGAGTCTAGGATTTATATAAGCTTTTCCTTTAAAAATATTCATTCATTATTTTCATCACACGTGCTTTCATCAGATGTGCACACCTCATAATTCATTGCGATTGCACACATCTCATAATTCATTGCAAAATGATTTATAAAAATAAAAAATAAAACCATAACTGAGCTGGTGGTCCAAGATTGACATTGTAATAGAAGCAATTGCAGCTGTCTATATAGATCAGACAGCTGAGAAGTGGGGTTCTATATACTTTTACATGTGGTTGGTGCCACGCCAACAACTAAACAGACCTTAAAATGGGTGATTCAAAAGCTGACCCAACTCAGAATGGGCTTTGTAGGATTGATCTGGGGTTGATGGTTTTAATTTTGGACGGAAATTCCCCGGAATTGCTTGCTTTGTGGGATTGATCCAGAGTTGATGGTTTTAAATTTGGACTGAAATTCCCTGGAATTGCTCGACAGTCTCTGTTTTTAAATTTTTTTTCTTTGAAGTGATCTTATTAACAAGGAATCTTCTTATTTTGACAATAAGTATCGGAATACGAACTTGCCAATCCGGGCCTGATTCCAGTCTTTTGACACTAATTGAGATATGTACTGGAATGGTGATATGGCCTGCGGCCTTTGAATGGTTGGTCTATTATTGAGTTCATCTGATCTATATCAGCTTAATCTCTGCTGTGAAAGAGAGAATGCTATGTTTTTTTTTTTTTTTAACATTAATTGAGTTCTACTATTGATCTATTGCATGAGCTTAATCTCTTTTAGGAAAAGAGGGAATGCTATGGGAAAAGCTAGTGTACATTCATGATACGTGATTTGATCAGTTTGTAATATACCAAATATTCAGGTGTACAGGATTAATAGGTTTATTACGAAGGTATCAATGGGAATGAAAACTACAACGTGCAATTGACATACGAGGGTTGCTTTTCAATATACGATATCGGGGTTGCTTTTTAGTATACTGTATTTTTAACTGTGGTTAAGGGATGGACACATGATAAAAGATGGGGTGAGGAGTAGGGATATTGGTTCCTAAGACCTTGTATTTTTTTTTGTTGGCTTTCAAGATCTTAATAAATATCTCTACATTATTCAGTTTATGTCTCTTTCTAATTATGTGGTTATTGTAAAAGATGTTTAGAGAGCGCATGTATAGAAATGAAGGGGAAATCCCTATTTGATGGGATACGAAGAGGGTGAGATAGAAGTCGAAATAGAGAACACATGAAAATAAACGTTTGAAATTTGGGTAGATCAATATGAAGTTTTATGATGCTGGAACTGCTATTTTTAGTGAGATATGATGCATGATTTACTTCTTTTCATGAGGCTTAGCCCTTATGCTAATCTTTTTAGTTAAAGCTACAACTAGTAGGACTATCATTCAGACCCTGTGTTTTCAAAACTCAAGACTAACTGCTATTTTTAGTGAGATATGATGCATGATTTACTTATTTTCATGAGGCTTAGCCCTTGTGCTAATCTTTTTAGTTAAAGCTACAACTGGTAGGACAATCATTCAGACCCTGTGTTTTCAAAACTCAAAACTAATGGGTGGATCGTCCACTCTACAATATTAGATTGACATGTCCATCAAAATAAATAAATAAATAAAAATGTACAACTAAAAAAGTGAAAAAAAAATTAATATAGGAGGTTTTTCTTTTAGGGGAAATTTAGGGCGGCCTAAATAAATGTTAGATAAGTTAAAAAAAATAAAAATAAAAATATGAAAGTTGAATCGGCTATGACAAAAAAATATATATTAAAAATTGAAAAAATTAATTTTTATCTATTTAAAAAAAAAACTTTTAACTTTCATAAACCTCGCCCACACTTTTTTTTTTCAATTTTGAGGTTGGTAGTCATACTATCGTGAAGCACAATTACTTTACTTAAAGTACCGTAAAAACTAAAATGTTATACGACAAGTACTGTAAAAACATTTTCTACTATTTATATTTAGAGAAATGATTCTATAGGACCCTCTCACACCCATTTATGTAAGACCCCAAAGGATCACCATTAAATTTGGCACGGATCTTTACAAAAAAAAATTGCTAGAGATCCGTATCAAATTTAATGGTGATCCTTTAAAGTCCTATACATATGGGTGTTAATGTGATCCTTTAGGATTCTATACACATGGGTGGGAAGGGTCCTATAAGATCATTACTCTTATATTTATACACATGGGCGGGAAGGGTCCTATAGGATCATTATTCTTATATTTATCTCTTACATCATGTTTATATTTGTCGTTTTCATCTCTTTAATTTTTTTTATGTTTATCTCTTTTTTCTCTCTAATTCTTTTTAATATTTATTTTTTCTTTCTCTCGAATTATTTCTAATATTTATTTTTTCTTTCTCTCTTTAATTCTTTTTAATATTTATCTATTCTTTCTCTCTCTAAATATTTTCTCTCTTTAACTCTCTTTCTCGAGATTTGTATAACAACATGTGCGTACCTTATCGTCATTTATAAAAACTCCAACCCTTTTCCCCTGTGAAAATTACACGGAGTCAGATTTGTATCGGATTCGAATCATGTTTGTTGAGTTTATAAAGTAAGTAGAGAGAGGCAAAGAGTTAATGAGAGAAAGAATAAATAAATATTAAAAAAAAATAGAGAGATAGAAAGAGATAAGTATTAATAGAAGAAAAGGGTTTATGGCATTTTGAGTGCCGTCTAACTTGGGTTAGTTTTTACGGTACTTAAAACATGAGCTATTAGTTTTTTACTATAATTAAAATACTGTATAATATGAATTAGTTTTGACGGTAATTAAAGTGTCGTATTTAGCTTCACGGTAATACAACTACCGTGAAGGTTATTTTGGTAAAAAATGATCATACTTGAACAAAAATGGTGTGGACGATGCTTGTGAAAGTTGAATTCTAAATAGACAAAAATTAAATTGTGATAATTTTTCTTTTCTATTTGAGGGAAGATTTTAGGGGTCTAAAAAAATATTAGATAAGTTAAAAAAAAAAAGAAAGAATAAAATTATGAAAGTCACACATTTGGGGACGGACTAAATCTAGTACTCAGACCTCCGGAAAACAACTTTGACGATAATAATGCTGACTTCAATTAATTGAAAAAAAACTTTGACAAAAATAATTTTGCCCAAATCTAAAACACTTATTTACCCAGCCTACTACTCTTTTGAGTAGATTTCTGTAGCCGGAAAAGAGTACATGTTTCAAATCGGCCGGCCAATTGGCAAAATTGGCTGGCGAACAATAAAACTACTGCTGTCCATATAGACCGTCCAATGTTTGCAATCGACGGTCAGCATCTCAAGGACTTTCACAGTCCTTAGGGTTCATAGCAGAAGGCCATAAAAACAGCGGACTCCGTTGAGACGTAGATTCTCTCTCTCGATCGAGAGAGAGAGGGAGAGAAGACTTGGAAGTGAACTAACAAGGTAATTGCATCCAGAGAGAGAAAGAGAGAGAGGGGAAGAAGAGGCATGGCTGGATCCAGGAGAAGTTACAGGAAATCGAGGCCAAAGGTTAGGGTTGGTCTTCCCAAGAGGCATCCTAATGTCTTCAAGCCCTCCTTCTCCATCCCCCCAAAGCTCCGTACCTTCTCCAGGTCCCTCTCTTCTCTCTCTCTCTCTCTCTCTAAACTTGTCCTGCTTTAATTTCTACTTTCATGGGTTTTATGGTTTTTCTCCCCCTTTTGGTACGTGTTTTTCAAATTTGATTAGGTTCCATCCCTTGCTGTGGTTTTCTTGCCTTTTTTATCTTTCACGTATTTTTTTTGTGGGTTTTCGATATACCCCATCATTCGTCCAATCCAAGATCTTTAGTTTTTATTGTAAATTATCTGAAATGGGTTCCTTGTTTCTTTTCTTTTTTTTATAAAATGTGTACATGAATTTTGTAACTCTTGATCATCACTCTTTAAGTAACCTTTTACTGAGCGGAATTTGTTGGGTTTGTGTTTTTCTCTTTTCCTGAATTTTACAGGGGAGATTGGGATGAAAAAGGAACGGTTTTGGAGAATTACCGGTCTTTTGGGGTTGTATCGAACCCTAATTTGCTTGGAGCTCAAGCAAGGACTACTCATATTATCGAGAGTGATGCATTGCAAGTCCCACCACCAAAAAAGGAATATTATCAGAACAATGATGGTATTTCACCTCCAAATGATCCAGAGTTTGAGCCAATTGATAGTGGCAGTGATCTCGAAGAAGACGGTAATTTTAATGAATAATTCCTCTCTCTATCTCTCTCTAACACTTCTCTAACACTTACACACTGCGAACTCACACACACACACATTTTTGTATAATTTTGGGATAATTGCATTTTCATTTAGTAATTGGTTGGGATGGTGTGCTCTGTTGTTAATTAGCTTATGCTGGTGTTGCTATAAGAGGATTCATTAGGTATTACTCATGCTTGATACTTTTGTACATTTAGGCATTGTTGGTATGGCAGTTATAGAACCCATCAAAGTTCTAGTACATGAGGACATACCATTCCTTTGTTCATCTATTCCATTGTAAGCTTGTACAGGTCTTCGTTTGAAATCTCATGTTTATTGGTTTAACTAATTTGATAGACAAAGTTGGGTTTAATCATTTATGCAAACTTTGAAGTTCTAAGAAATATGGGCATTGCTTTACTGCTCATGGAAAGGACCTAGAGCACTCAATAATATAGTGATAAAGTCCTCAATAATATAGTGATAAAGTCCTCATCATAAAAAAAAAAAATGGTGATCAATTAAATTTAACATGTGAAAATGAGACATTGAGGAAATTTATAGCAGATCTCAAACATCGTAAGTCGCAATTTAAGATTTTTGTATTTTTCTTGGTACTTCTCTTACATGCCAAGAATATGATGAAATGTGGCCACTGGCCAAATGATGATTCATTTATTTCAGTTTCCGAGTAATATGTGCAACATGAAAGCCTATAATCATGGGAGGACAGATTGGTTGTGTTACTGCATGAAGGGGAATGCCACCAACCCCAGAGTAGTTGTGATTTATTGGAAAGGGGTGAAACTTTCCTTTGCTATGTAGGTGCTGCATTTTGAGATCTGTAAAACCAAGAGCCTTTGAAATATCAAACATTTCATTGCCTTCTCATCACCATTTGCAGCTTTAGGCTCTGATTCATTGCATAGAAAATATCAAACATTTCACCACTTGGTAGAAAACTCTCCTAAAGGTTTTATGAGAACAAGGAAAAAGCAATTTATTAGGAACTGGTGAAAAACCTGTAACTATTGAAAACTTGCAGAAACTGCTTTCTTTTGCTACTTCTGAAAAGTTCATCTTGGACTTACCGTTGTGTTCATGAAGATTGAAGAATCCTCCAGCAAGTCATTACCGCATCAGCTGCATTTAAAAACTCGCTAATTGTCAATCTCCTCCCTGACTTCTGTGAATTTTGAACCATGATACGAATACATGTTCTGTTTATAAACTACATACAATTGTAGTTTATGTATTTATAGTATCTCTATGTGTTGGTAGAAGTGGGTGTTAGAATTTAGCTATTAAAAAATACCAACTGAAAATGTACTATTATGAAAGATACAATGCTAGATTATGTATTACAGACTCAGTAATAGGCTGCAACAGGTATAGTATTTTGCAGTTGTTCTAGATAAATCTTAGTTTTTCTCTTTACTAAATGATATCAAGTTGACATCAATATAATTATGTAGTTTTACAGTTTGTCTATTCTACATATGTCAAGCCACATCAAGGGTAGAGGCACATGACATTCAACCAAAGTAGGACTTTATAGGGAGAAAGACTTTAGAGTAGGTATCTATTAACACGGATCATACAAGGGGGAGTTTTGGGTTACCCACCACCTAATCCTATTCAATCTCTATATATTCCCTGAATAAATACCTTCACAAAATTACTTATTCCAAATCTCTAATAGGAAATCTAAATGGAAATGGGAGCTTTCAATAAATGCCTTATCTTTTATCTAAGCTTAAAGAGTAATTATTTTAGATGTACATACACATAAAGAAACATTATCGTCTTTCGGAGTTTATCTTCATTGGAAACAAATTGTAGTTTTTGACGTGTTGTAATCACAATAATGGAAACATGCATCACCGTATGTCATGCAATTGTATTAATATTTGATCGTACTGGAATGTGTATGACCATTAGGAATAGTGATATTCCCTGGCATCTTGCGCCATCAATGCTTCCTTAATGTTTGACAGCACAAGCATTAAAGCATCCAACCTCCTGACAAAAAAGAGTACAAATGTTATAGCTTACGATACTCTGAGGGCTCCTGGAAATGGCTAAGGAATATCTTTGGGTGCTAGAGGGAGTGAGAACTTGAGTTAGTTACGAAGTGTGCAGGGTTCACTGCAGCAGCGTTTATTTTGTGAGCAGGAATGTTCTCTTTTTGCAATAAACGACTTTCATTGTTGTATATATCGAGTATACATAGCATTATATGTATGCTATGTCAGGAGACGAAAAGTATGCATAGAGTTTTATCCTTTAAGGAATACAAGAAATATGGTTGGGGGGGGGCCGGGGGGAGAGGAGGTAAATTGCCTCTTTAGTAAGAGTATTAGCTGTATCATTAAATAAGAGTGCTAGACAGCAGTAGACATGTTTTGAAATTTGAGCAATTCCTTGGAGACGTGTGAGCCTTTGGGGAGGCTGAGTGACTTGGGTACCCCACTAATAATGTTGATGGATTCACCCTCTACCTTAAAGGGTATCGTTAAGTAGATGAATCCCCTCAAAGAGGGCTCTGGTATACTCCTAGCTGATATTGCAAACACAATTGGAACCTAAGAAGGCTCTTATCATCCAGCCCAAGTGTAAGGTTCTTGTAAGTCAGGGTGTCATTTGCAGTTCTGTTATAAGGTAGCTTACTAATTGTTATAAATTTGATTTATAATGTACATCATATGTCTCGTTTGCAGTTTGCAATTAGTAAATCCCACTCAATGGATCCTTCTCATGTTCCCTCATTTTTTTTTCTTCCCCTGTCCTTTTGGACAATTATGAATGTCCCGATCCTCTTGACCACTGCTTTTCGTCTATAAAGTTCTCTCGATTTGGTTTCATTTTGCCTAGATTTTTTTTTGGTGTTTCATTTTGCCTAGATTGGATAGCGAAGTTTTTAAACTAAAATCTAGAATGTTTTCTAGGACTTATGAATCTCCCCTTCCCCACCCATCTCTCTCTCTCTC